GGTTCGGGAAGAAGGGCAAGTTGGCCCTCGGTTTACTGGGCCTTTTGAGGTGCTTGAGAGGATTGTAGAGGTGGCTTACAAGCTTGCATTGCCGCCTAGTCTGTCGAGTGTTCATCCAATGTTTCATGGTTCCATGCTCCGAAAGTAATTTGGCAACCCGTCTCATGTTTTATTCTTCAGTACGGTTCAGTTTGATGGTTATTTGACTTATGATGTGGAGACGGTGGTCATTTTGGATTGGCGGTTCGGAAGTTGAGGTCAAAGTACATAGCTTCTGTGAAGGTGCAGTGGAAAGGTCAGCCAGTCGAGGAGGCTACTTGGGAAACCGAGCGGGAGATGCGGAGGAGATATACACGCCTATTTGAGACTCCAGGTATGATTCTAGACCCGTTCGAGCACGAATTGTTGTTTAAGAGGGGGAGGATGTAACGACCCGGCCGGTGGTTTCGAGTATTATAGCGCGTTCCCCAATTTTTTGCTTATACTATGCTCTTTTGTTGTCATTTGACTCGTCAGAGTGGTTGGTTTGGTTCCGGGAATATTTCGGAATAAGTTGGGACACTTAGTCCCAAGGTTGGAAGACTAAGTTAAAAGAGTTGGCTAGATGTTAACTTGTGTGTAAATGACTTCGGCATGGAGTTTTGATGGTTCTAATGGATCTGTACGGTGATTTTGGACTTAGGAGTGTGTCCGGATATTGATTTGGATGTTCGTAGGTGATTTTGGCTTGAAATGACAAAAATTGAAAAAAGGAAGTTTGGAGGGTTAAGAAGTTTGACCAAGATTTGACTTTGTGGTTACCGGGCTAGCAATTTGGTTTCGGAAGTCGGAATAGGTCCTTTGTGTCAATTATGGCTTGTGTGCAAAATTTGAGGTCAATCGGAGTTGGTTTGGTATGTTTTGGCATTAGTTTTGGAAGTAAGAAGCTTTTAAGTTCATTAGGCTTAAATCGATGCGTGATTCGTGGTTTTAGTGTTGTTTGATGTGATTGAGGCTTCGAGCGAGTTCGTATGATGTTTTAAGACTTGTTAGTATGTTTGGTTGAGGTCCCGAGAGCCTCGGGTGTGATTTGGGTCATGTTCAGCGCATTTGGAACTTTGAAGACTACTAATTTTTGTGTTGCTGATATCCTTATACGCGATGGCGAGTGGGATATCATGATCGCAAAGAGTTGTTTGGCGACTGGTGGAGGATTGTTCTATGCGATCGCGAGAAGAGGTCTGCGATCACGGAGCTTTGGCATTCAATGAATCGCGAATGCGTATGTTGGGTCGCATCCACGAAGAAGAAAGGAGGAGGCTAGGAATCTATGTGACTTGTTCTTTGCGATCGCGTGAAGGGGATCGCGATTGTGTAGGTTGATCAATCTATGAGTCACATTCGCCGCCCTCTGGTCGGCAATGCAATTCCCAAGCTCACAGCCAGTTAGAGCAAAAAAATCAACCCCCATCTTTCTCTTAAAACTCAGCTCATTCTAAGTGGAGTTCCACGTTCGCGGAGAGTAATTTGGTAAGCTCGTGGATTTGTGCTTTGCGATGGTGAAGCATTTCCCGCGATCGCAATGAAGAGCACTTGGGCAGAATATAAGACTAAAAAATGAGGGTTAGAGTAAAATTTCATAATTGTACTTTGGGAGTTCAGAGAGGCGATTCTTGGAGGAATTTTCGAGGAATTGATTGGGGTAAGTGGTTCTAACTCGGAATTAGTTAATATACATGAATCTATCATTGTTTTTATCATTTAATTAGTGTTTTGGGTTGGAAAAATTGGAAAAAATTGTAGAAACTTCATAGGCTTTAATTTGAGGATTTGAAGGTCGAGTTGTGATCGAAATTGAGTAATTTTGGTATGGTTGGACTCGTGGTTGAATGTGAGTTTGGATTTTGTTAATTTTTTCTGATTTTAATACGTGAGCCTGGGGTTGAATTTTTGAATTGACTTTTTGACTTTTGTTTAAGAACTTAGCTTTATCGTATGGAATTAATTCCAATAACTTGTGTTGATTGTATCGAGTTGTTTGTGGCTAGATTTGAGTCGTTCGGAGGAAGATTAGCGAGGCAAGGGCTTATTGGAGTAGAGATTTGCACGGTTTGAGGTAAGTAACACTTCTAAACTTGGTTCTGAGGGTATGAATCCCTGAATTACGTGTTATGTGGTTGGTGTTGAGGTGACGCACATGCTAGGTGACGGGCGTGTGGGCGTCCACCGTAGAAATTGTAACTCGGTCGATTCCATGGAGCTGTGTAGTCATATAATCATGTTATTATCCACGTATTCTCTATGTGTTAGAGAAATTGGGCTATGATTCATGTTAGAAATCATGCTTAGGCTATATACTGGTACTGTTGGGACCCACAGAGGTCGTGTTGCTGTTGAATTACTTGCTTATTTTGCAATTATGTACTCAGTCACATCTATCATTCATATCATATCTCAGTCTCTGTTGCCATTTATTGATACATCATATCATCATTGTTTGGGCTGATTGTCATGATATTTGTGAGCCCGAGAGACTAGAGAGATTGATGACTGAGTGAGGCCGAGGGCCTGATTGTGAGTGATGGTATGGGATCGGGCTGCATGCCGCTACAGGATTTATTGATTCATGCCATGAGTGGCTTATTTTAGTGTTTGGGCAGGATCCACCCCTTCGAAGTTTGACTTACCAGCAGTGAGCGCACGTACCTACTGAGTGCGAGTGCCGAGTACAAGTGCCGAGCGATTGTGAGGACTGAGTGACTATAAGGACTGAGTGACTGTGAGGAATGAGTTACTGGGAGGACTAAGTGACTGGGAGGACTGAGTGAATTGATACTCCGAGAGTATCCATATGATTTTATCACTGTATTGCATTGCAGTTGGCATGCATAATTGACATGTAGATATAGTGATGTATCATTCCTCATTTCAGTCACATTTGGCATATTTATCCGTACTGAACTTAAACTGTTAAACTTGAAAGCATGTCTACATTTCTGTATTGTTAAATTCTGTATTTGGATTGTACCTGTCGAGCTCGTCACTGCTTTCATCCCAAGGTTAGTCTTGTTACTTATCGAGTGCATTGGGTCGGTCGCACTCATACTACACTCTAGACTTCGTGTGCAGATCCAGGTACTTTTGGGTACAACGGCTGCTAGCTTTGGAGCTTTTGTCTGTTGGAGACTATCGAGGTAGCTATCTTGGCGTCTGCAAACCTTGACTCTCCTTCTTTTTCATTTATTTGTAATGTTCTATCTCTCTAGATAGTGTTTTAGCAGTCAGACGATGTTTTCATTTAGATGCTCATGTACTCAGTGGCACCCGAATTTTGGAAGATTTTGTATTGAGTCGTGATATTTTCTAATCAGTTAATTATGAGATTTGCTATTTAAGCTTATTTCAGTTTGTTTTAACTTAAAGATGCATGCTTATTTGGGAGTTGTTGGCTTGCCTAGGGTAATCCCCTCACGGCTTTGCGTTCGCGTCCCACCTCCGCATTCGTAAAGAGTACCAGCCCCAGCCCAAATTCTTCCTCTTCTCGATCGCGATAGACACTTTACGACCGCGAAGCACTGGTCACTAGAAGCAAAAACTAGCAATTCCAACAAGTTCCAAAATGGTTCGAAACCAATGCGAAACCCACCCGAGCCCCTCAGGTTCCACACCGAACATGCACACAAGTGTAATAACGTCATATAATCTCGCTTGCTGCCTCAAATCAACAAAATAAAATCAAAAAACAAGAATTGCTCATCAAAACTCAAGATTTTAACTTGAAAACTAATTTTTCACAATCTTCCACATAATGCGCCAAAACGCGCTCGGGTCAACCTGGACCCCAAATAAATGTGCGTACAAGTCAAAAATATCATACGAACCTACTAAATCATCAAAGCATTGATCCAAGGTTGTTTACTAAGAACGTTGGACGTGGTCAACTCAACTTGCTTTTACATCCAAAAATCACATTCACTTTAAAATTTCACATAAACACTTTTCAAAAAACGACACGACCATGCACGCAAGTCATGTAACATCTAATGAAGCTATGAGAGGTCTCGGGACACAGAAATAAGGGCTAGTATAAAAAATGACCTATCGGGTCGTCACATTCTCTACCTCTAAAAGAAATGTTCGTCCTCGAACTGACATAGAAAAGTACCTAGACTTGAATAAAGGTATGGTTATCTACTCCACATATAGGACTCGGACTCCCACATAGCCTCCTTAATCGGCTGACCTCTCCATTGCTCTTTCACAGAAGGAAAACTCTTGGATCTCAACTTTCAAACCTTCCGGTATAGAATAGCCACCGACTCTTCCTCATGGGCCAAATTTTCATCAAGTTGAACCGTGCTGAAGTCCACAACATGTGACTTGCCCTCATGGTACTTCCGAAGCATAGAAACGTGAAATATCGAGTGTACCCTTGCTAGGCTAGGAGGCAATGCAAGCCTATAAGCAACCTCCCAAACTGTCTCCAAGACCTCAAATGGGCCAATAAACCTCTGGCTTAACTTGCCCTTCTTCCCAAACCGCATCATGCACTTTATAGGCGATACTCGGAGAAGAACCTTCTCACCCACCATGTAAGCTACATCTTGAACCTTCTGGTCTGTATAATTCTTCTGCTTGGATTAAGCTATACGATGTCGCTCATGAATCACCTTAACCTTCTCCATAGCGTCACGGACCAAATCAGTGCCCAAAAATCTAGCCTCTCCAGGATCAAACCAACCAATCGGCGAATGACATCGCCTCCCATATAAGGCCTCATATGGAGCCATTTGTATGCTAGACTGATAGCTGTTGTCATAGGGAAACTCTGCGAGCGGTAGAAACTGATCCCATGAACCTCTTAAATACATAAAAGAGGCGCGTAACATGCTCAACCTGTGTGCCCAATTCACACTGCACGACTCTCCAAAAATCGATGTGAACTATGTGCCTCGGTTAGAAATGATGGAAATGTGCATGCCATGCAGGAGGACAATCTCCCGAATGTAAATTTGAGCCAACTACTCTGAAGAAGAGGAAGTCATCACCGGAATAAAGTGCACGGACTTAGTCAACCGGTCCACAATAACCCAGAATGCGTCATATTTCTTCAAGGTTCGTGATAAGCCTACCAAATAATCCGAGATGCGCTCCCATTTCCACTCCGGTATATCCAATCTATCAGTCAACCCTACCGATTTCTGATGCTCATACTTCACCTGTTGAAAATTCAAATACCGAGAGACATAAGCCACAATATCTTTCTTCATTCTTCGCCACCATTAGTGTTGTTTCAAGTCACGGTACATCTTCGTGACACATGGGTGAATTTAATAGCGTGAACTGTGAGCCTCCTGAAGGATCAAATATCTCAACCCATCAACATTTGTAACACAAATCCGGCCATGAAGCGGAATAACACCATCATCACCAACCACAACCTCCTTAGAACCACCCCAATGTCCGTGTCCCTCAACACCATCAAGTGAGGATCATCAAACAGACGAGCCTTGATATGCTCTAACAACGATGATTGTGCAACAACACAAGCAAGAACCCAAATAGGCTCTGAAACATTCAATCATACAAATTGATCGGCCAAAGCCTAAACATCCATGGCTAGTGGCCTCTCTACTGCCGGTAAATTTGCCAAACCGCCCATACTCTCAGCCTCACTACCCAATGCGTCAGCCACTATATTGGCCTTCCCCCGATGATATCATATAGTGATATCATAGTCTTTTGGAAACTCTAACCATCTCCACTGCCGCAAATTAAGGTCCTTCTGCTTGAACAGGTCTTGGAGACTTTGATGGTCTACATGGACCTCATATGGAACGCCGTATAGATAGTGCCTCCAAATCTTTAGCGCATGAACAGTGGCTGCCAACTCTAATTCTGTCATAGGGTAGTTCTTCTCATGAACCTCCAACTGCCGATACGCGTAAGAATTCACCCTACAATCCTACGTCAACACTACACCAATTCCAATATGCGATGCATCACAATACACGGTGTAAGATCCCGAACCGGCAGGCAACACCAACACCGGGGCTGTAGTCAATGCAATATTGTGCTTCTGAAAGCTCGCCTCACACTCGTCAGACCATCTGAAAGGAGTACCCTTCTAGGACAATCTAGACAATGGAGCTGCGATGAATGAAAATCCCTCCTTGAAATGACGATAATAACAAGCCAAACCCAAGAAGCTTTGAATCTCTGTAGCTGAAGATGGTCTAAGCCAATTCTAAACTGCCTCAATCTTCTTCAGGTCTACCTTGATCCCCTCACTAGACACCATGTGACACAAGAACACCACCGAATCAAGACAAAACTCGCACTTGGAGAATTTAGCATACAACTTCTTCTCCCTCAAAGTCTTGAGCACGATTTTCAAGTGCTGCTCATGATCCTCCCCACTGCGAGAATACACCAATATGTCGTAAATGAAAACGATGAAGAAGGAATCAAGATGTGGCTGAAACACACTATTCATCAAGTACATAAAGGCTGTTGGGGGCATTGGTCAGCCCAAAAGACATCACCAAAACTCATAGTGACCATAGCGGGTCCTGTAAGCCATCTTCAAATTATTTGAATCCCGGATCTTCAACTGATGATATCCCGATCTTAGGTCAAACTTCGAGAATACCTTAGCACCCTGAAGATGGTTAAACAAATCATCAATACACTGTAGGGGTACTTGTTCTTGACTATAACCTTGTTCAGCTGCATCTAATCAATACACATCCACATAGTGTCGTCTTTCTTCTTCACAAATAGAATTGGAGCACCCCAAGACGAGATACCCGGTCTGATAATACCCCTATCAAGCAACTCCTGAAGTTATCTTTTAATTGCTTCAACTCCATTAGTGTCATGAGATACGATGCAATAGAGATGGGCTGAGTACGCCGCACCAAGTAAATACGAAAATTGATGTCCCGATCAGGCGACATGCCTGGAATATCTGCTGAGAACACATATGGAAAGTCTCTCACTACCAGAACTAACTCAACAGTAGGATTATCCGCAATAACGTCCCTCACAAAGGCTAAATATGGAAAGCAACCCTTCTCTACCATCTGTTGTGCCTTCAGAAAGGACACCATCCTGCTAGGAACATGACTTATTGAACCTCTCTACCCCGATCGTGGAAACCCCGGCATGCCCGATATCACGGTCTTAGCATGACAATCTAAAATAGCATGATGTGGTGATAACCAGTCCATGCACAAAATAACATCAAAGTCCAACATGCTAAGTAAAAGAAGATCTACCCTAGTCTCGTAACACTCGTAGAAATCACACGCGAGCGATAAACATGATCTACCATAATAGAATCTCCCACGGGTATAGACACATAAACATGAGCACTAAAAGAATCACGAGACATATACAAATATGGGGCAAAATAGGATGACACATACGAATAAGTGGAACCCAGATCAAATAAAACTGACTCATCTCTATGGAATACCGAAACAATACCTATGATGACCGCATAAGATGACTCTACCTCGGGTCTAGCTGGAAATGCATAGAAACGGGGCAGACCCCCACCAGTCTGACCTCCACCTTTCAAACAGCCTCTCCCTAGCTGGCCTCCATCTCTAATGACCTGACCACCACCTCCGGCTTCCTTGCCCCCGCCTCTAGTTGGCTGAGCAGGCGATGGAGCAACCAGTGATAAAACCATGGCACGAGAACCCTACTAAGGCACACTGGTCTAAAGTCTGGGATAGTATCTCCTGATATGACCGTACCTCCATACTCAAAGCACTCTCTCAGCTGCTATGGCTGCTGAATCTAGGACTGACCCTGACAGCCCGGATAACTAATGTGATAGCTCTGAATTGATAGTGCACTGATGGGAGCTCTAGGTGCACTATAGGCTAGTTGTTCAGGAAGAGACCCATAACAACAATGATTACCTGAAGCACCGAATGATGCCTGAAATGCCGACTGGACTGATCTGATAGGATGGCCTCTTCAGAAAAAAACCTGGCCTCCAGATGAGGCACCACTGAAACCTCCGAAATGTTAAGGCCTCTTCTTAGATGCCGTCTCTCTACCCTGACCACAAACCCTCTCGATCCATCTAGCAATCTCTATAACCCCTCAAAAAGAAATATCATCCTTAGTTCTTTGGCCATCTGTAGCCTAATACCATAAGTAAGGCCATCAAAAATCTCAACACCCTCTTCTCTCTCTTAGTAGGGATCAAGACAACTGCATGGAGAGATAAATCCACAAATTTGGTCTCGTACTGGGTAATAGTCATGCTACCCTACTGGAGGCGCTCAAATTAACAACGATAGTCCTCTCTTAGAGGAAAAAGGATGAAATTCTTGAAAAATAGTTGTGATAATAGATCCTAAGTGAGTGGAGGTGAATCTGCTAGTCTGGCTCGAACATACTCCTGCCACCACCACTTGGCAGAACCGTGCTCCTGAAATGCCGCGAAGTCCACACCATTGGACTCCACTATACCCATGTTGTGCAACACCTCATGGTAATGGTGTATGAATGTTGCTCCCAAACGCACACACATGTATACGTGGTCGACCAGTAATATAATGATAAGTTGAGTGTCGAACCCACAGAGACTTGTGTAAACTACTCATGTAATTACTAAAATTGTTATTCAGTCCAGCTAAAATCAAAGTCCAATAATGTGATTATATTATACTACGATTCTAAGTAATAACTAAATTATCAAGTAACGAATTGATTGTTGTGTATTCAGTAGAGATAAGTATTCCAGGGTTGTGATCGATTCACCATTCGTATTGTGTTCTAATTAACTCTCCCTTTCATATAATTCACTCATGGTTGCTAATTAATCGATAAATGCTCTCATAGCCTTGTCCTGAAGTACTACTCACCTATTCTCAATAGATTAACACCTATATTCCTATGAAATCAATATATTAAGAATGCATTAAGATTATGATATTTAATTAAGCACGATGACTAGGTATATTCCTATCCTAACCACAAATCCGCTCCCCCTAAGGGTTAAGATCATGCTCTCTTCAATTCTTCTCTAATCTAAACATGGCTTTCCCAAGCATAGCATAAATAGTCAATAGAACTCAATTGTTGGCCAGACAATTAAGCAATTAAACACAAAATTGAAGAAACAACCATATATTGGTGAATTATAATCAAGGTCAAGCTAATATGAAACCACAATATTCATGTCTAAATCACAACCCCAGAACAATGGGTGTTTAGCCACTCATACTAGCGTACATCACAATAAGGTTCAATTTCATCACAATTAGCAAAAACCAAGGGAAGAAAAGAAGAACTTGATGATTAAAATCTCTGCCTTGCCTCTTGCCTCTCTATTCCTTCACTAGACTATGAAAACCTTGATAAATAATCCTTGGGCGAGCTTGACTTTATATAGGTTAAGTGGGATTTCCTCCAGATTCCCAATTATGCCCCTGAACAATGCTTCCCGGAATTTGGACTAGCGCGGTCGTGCATATGGGCGCGCATCTGACCGCGCTAGTTGGCATACGTTCTGTTTAGGGCGCGCTAAAATCAGCGCGGGCGCGCACCTGGGCGCGCTAGCCCAGCACTTTGTTTCCTCACTTCTTTTTCTCGTCTTCAAGTGTACTCATCTCCGAAGGGTCTTTCTTGCTCCAAAAAAGTTTCAATCACAACTTTAAGGCATCACGTAGGCTCCTCATCCTGCAACGTATACAATTCACAATTAGAGCCTATTTTTCATCAATTAACTATATTATGACATTGGAATTTAACTAAGCAGAAGCATAAACAATCGCCAAATTACCTAGATTTAGCCTATTATCAATGAAATCCTGTGGGTCTCAGAAGGTGTGCCGCCAAAGCAAACAGGAAATAACTTAGTGAACTTATCCAACCTCTTGGGTCCCTCGTACGATATAGTGGGCCTCTCCATGGGATGATTAGCAATGATAGGCTGGACTACTTGAGTCTGATATCCATGAGTCATCTACTCTGGTGTGTTAGTGGCGGAGTCTGGGTTCCTCTTCCAGACAGAGAGATAGCTGGTGCCATAGGAAATACTTCTGCCTGGGCCACACTATCCATAAGGCCGACCAGGCGAACTAGAGCGTCCTGAAGTACGGGAGTGGTAATAAACCCATCTGGGACCTAAGCTGGTCCAACTGGCGCAGTCTGAATAGGGATCTCCCCCTCCTGCTCGATCTGAGGCTCTACAATTGGTGCTGCTGCGCATCCTCTAGGGTGAGCTCTGCCTCTGCCCCTACCTTGGCCCCAGCCCCTACCCCTGGTAGTGGCTGCAACATGGGGCTCTGGCCTCTGGTCCACTATGGATGCTATGCGTGTCCTCACCATCTGTGAGAGATTAAGAATAGGACAATTCAAACTCAATAAAAGAATAAAATTGCACGATAGAGAAGGAAAGAAGTGAAATTTTCCTAAAGCCCTATAGCCTCTAGAAAATAAGTGTTGACGTCTCCATATTGATCCTCTAGACTCTACTAAGCTTGCTCATGATTCGTGGGACCTAGGCAACCTAGTGCTCTGATACCAACTTTTCACGACCCAAATCCCAACCGCAGGGTCGTGATATCGCCTAACATCCACTTGCTAGGAAAGCCAGCATTAGTACACAATTATTCATTTTAAAATCAATTTGAAAGCATTTTAATAATAAATAAAGTATTCAAAAACAAATATAAATACTCCAAACACTGACTAGCCCAAATACTGGAATCTAGTGTCAGAAGTACATGAGCATTCTAAAAGTGCTACAACCAATGTGTGAATGAAAATACAACTGTTTGAAACAAATTAAATTGTAAACTAGATAAGGAAGGGGACTTCAAGGACTACGATCGTCGTGCAGCTCTACCTCAAGTCTTCGTGAAAAGCTAATCCAAGCGAGCCTTCACTAATGCTGCTAGGACCAACACCAGAATCTGCACAAGAAGTGTCGAAGTGTAGCTGAGTACAACCGACCCCATATACTCTGTAAGTGCCGAGCCTAACCTCGACGAAGTAGTGACGGGGTTAAAATAAGGCACTCATTAAAAACATGTACAAATATAATAAAATAACAACAAAACAGAGAAAACGAGTATAACATGAAAATTGGAACATAAAATACATAACAGATGGCCTAGAATAACACTTATGCTAAACTTCTCAATTTAACATGGATACAATAACAACAGTTAAACACAGTGAAATATGTCTTCTCCATTGTGGCGCGCATCTGGATCCACTAACATACATACATAATAAGTCTTCTCCATTGCAACGCGAAAATCGATCCACAAAATATATATATATATATATATATATATATATATATATATATATATATATATATATATATATATATATATATATATAAAATATGCCAATAACCCGATCCACAAAGTAATACCATATTTGTTGCAGTGTGCAATTCAATCCTACACAATAATGCCAATAACTGTTGGGCGCGCAACTCGATCCCATACAGTAATAATATAAATGTACTTCCACAACCAACTACGACGTATCTCAAATAAAACATAATAAAATAATTACATATTTAAAGACATAAAGGGGATAAAAGTAGCTATCTAATAAAAGTAGCTTTTATATATATATATATATATATATATATATATATATATATATATATACACACACCATTGCGGCTTACAACCCAGTACCAAAAAATAAACACCACTATCCAGCGTGCAATTCGATCCCACATAATAATGCCAATAACCGTTGCGGCACGCAACTCGATCCCATACAATAATAATATAAATGTACTTCTACAACCAACTACGACGTATCTCAAATAAAACGTTAACGAAGAATTACATAATTAATGTCACGACCCAAAATCCATAATCAATGTCACGACCCAAAATCCATTTTAAGGGTGATTTTATAATGAGAATTACATACTCATTATAATTCAATTTACAATAATTTCCCAACTCCGCTTGAAAAGTAGATAAAATCACCCTCGGGCCCACGTGCCCGGATTCTGAAAATTTTCGAAGATAAACATTACCCATAGCATCACAAGCTCAAATATATAATTTATTCCAAATTCCATGCCCAATTTCGTGGTCAAAATTCAAAGATATAAATTTCTAGGTTTTTCTTCAAAACCCCAAATTTCCACAAATTTCCCATGATTTTCCATGTTAAAATTCTAGATGTAATCCAAGTATTTAACTTGCAATAGGTGGGAATCACTTACCTTGACATAGATGATGAACATGGAGCTCCGAAATCGCTCCTAGGTCGGCTCCCATGGAGGAAACGAGATGAAATGAGCCAAATCCATTTTTGCAAACTTATACACTGCCAGACGACCCTTCTTCGCGATCGTGGGAATACCTTCGCGATCACGAAGGCTAAAAGTGCTGCCTCCCAGAATTCCTCTACGCATTCGCGACCAAAGGGCCGCGTTCGCAAAGGCTTAACGCCTGATGGCCCCAGCTCCCTACCTCTTCGGTTTCGCGTAGGCTGTTCAAGGCCCACTCTCGCGTTCGCGTCCCATGCACCGCATTTGTGATGAACAACATTGCAACCCAAAAATCCCTCCTTCGCTAATGCGGGAATCCCTTCGCGTTCGCAAAGGACAACACTAGAAACAGCAACAGCAGTTCCAAAATAGCTCAAATTGATCCGAAACCACCCCGAAACACACCCGAGGCCCCTGGGACCCCATCCAATCACAGAAACCAGTCCCATAACGGACCTACAAATTAAATATTGCACACAAGTCACATTCGACATTACAGATCTACTTCAACTTCCGGAATCGAAATCCGACCCCGATATCAAAAAGTCCACTCCCGGTCAAACTCCCCAAAAACCTTCAAGTTTCTAAATTTCGCCAAATGACCCCGAAATGGCCTACGGACCTCCAAATCCACGTCCGGACGCGCTCCCAATACCAAAATCACCATACGGAGCTATTCCCAGATTCAGAATCCCAAACGGACATCGATAACATTGAAACGCACTTCAACCCAAATTTATGAAATTCTTCCAAAATGCCAACTTTCCACAATAGGCTCCGAAATGCTCCCGGGTCATCCAAAACCCGATCCAGACATACGCCCAAGTCCAAAATCATCATATGAACCTGTTGGAACCTTCAAATCTCGATTCCAAGGTCGTTTACTCTAAAATCAAACCTTAGTTAATTCTTCCAACTTAAAGCTTCCGAAATGAGAATTTCTTTCCAAATCAACTCCGAACTTCCCGAAATTCAATTCTGACCGCGCGTAAAAGTCGTAATACCTGAAATGAAGCTACTCATAGACTCAAACTGCCGAACAACGCACTAGAGCTCAAAACGACCAGTCGGGTCGTTACATTCTCTCCCACTTAAACATACGTTCATCCGCGAACGTGCTAAGAACTGCTCTGGAGCTGTCCGAAATCACTATTTAACACCTCGTGCACCTACCCGTGCTACCACAACCTAGTTGAGCATATTAGCTCGAGCAAATT